CCCCACCACCTCTGGCAAAATTAAAATAAATAAAATATATATATATTTTTAAAATGTCATTAATTCAAACAGATTACAAAACCTGGTACATGTGCACAGAGGGGGAAGAGTAACAGAATGAAGGCATCTGGGTCGCTCCAAACATGTTATTTGTGTGTGTGTGTGCATGCACACACTGTGTGATGGTTTGTGTCGCAACTACCCTGCCTCAGCCTCCTGTGTAGTTGGGACCACAGGGGCCACGGCCACACCGCTCTTGCAGGCAGGGCCTCACTATACTGCCCACACTGGCAGCACGGGGGCTCCTCCTGCCCAAGGCTCCCAAGCAGCTGCAGCTACAGGGGCCACAGTGAGCCGCATTTTAGGATGGCCTGGGACTCGAACCTGCACAGTAGCCACATCCAGCCCATGCTACTGCAGCTGAGCCTCCAAACATACTCTCCTTACATGTTCCACATCAGGTTGGCTTTTGTCCTAAGTCTCATTTCCTGTCATTAACTTATAAAGACAGAGGGCCCCAAATCACATTTAGTGGTTGCATTTACTTTAAAAAAAAAATTTATATACTTATTTCCATCTGTTATTATTATTATTATTATTATTTAAATTTTTAATTTGACCAGAGAAAGAGAAAGGGAAAGTGAGACAGCGAGCACCAGATCGGGGGCTCAAACCACGGTCGGCCTGTGGCAACGCAGCACTTTAACCACCACGCCAGCTGCTGGCCCCCACGGTTGCATTTACTAAACTAAGGCCAGACCGCTTTCCCACAAAAGCATTCGTGTCTACCTCGTGCCACTGTTTGAGTGGGGCTACAATAATGAGTAAAACAGATCCAAATCTGTCTTCACATAGTTTAAATATTAAAATATCAGATCTGGCCACGTCACCTGAAATCATAACTGACCCCTCACACATCTGACACCGAAGTAGGAGGTCCCCGTGTCAGTGCTTTTACCTTTTCTGACCTCACGTGCTGTCCCGGGCAAGTTCACAGCAGATTAGACATGGGCCTGGGACCCGCCCTCCTGTCCTGGTCGGACTGCGTGTCTAGACTACACCCACCATGCTTTACAATGCACAGCCTGGGCGGCGTGTCTACAGCTGCTGGTGCAGCAGCTAAGGCAGCTGGATCCCACGTGGCCGGCGTGGCCTGCGCCGTCTGAGTCCTGGACCCAGAAGCTGGAAAAGCAGTTGGGCATGTGTGCATGAGTACCTAAAATCCTGAGAGAAGAGGAGGGATTGTGGTGTGGCCGTCCCCCATAGGGGGCGTTCTTTTTCTCCAGCAAGCGCACGTGCCCCCTAGCAAATTAAAAAGAAAAAGGTCCAGTAGGTGGCGCGGTAGTTAAGGTGCTGGCTCCCACATGGCGGACTGCAGTTTGAGTCCTGGACCTGGCAGCTTGGAAATCATGCTGGATACATGTGTGTGCGCCCAAAATCCCTAGAGACAGTGCTGCGCTGTGCCCACACCCTCCCTGGGAGGCTGCTTTCTCTTCCCCTGCCTCTCCCTGGGGAACACACAGGCCCTATGGCAGAGGTGGGAAAAGCTCTGAGGGCTCTGACTCCATGTTGGGGTAGGCTTCCCCAGGCAGCAGGAGGTGCCATGGAGGGCACAGCGTGCCAGGGAGCTTGACGCAGGCCTGGGTAAGGCCAAGGCCCGGGGCAGAAACTGACAGCACAAGCTGACCCTGCCAAAGCTGCCGGGACTGCAGGAGGGGGTCTCTGAAAACCTAGAAGGGAGTGGGACGAAGGGACAGGGAAGGAGCCACCAAGCTGCTCAGAACAGGAGGAGCCACGCTCATCAGAGAGGGCAGCAGGGCACAGGGAGCCCTGGGCCGCTGGGGGCCGGTTAGGGACGAGCACCTGTGTGGGCACGTTTCCGACGGGGCTTTCCTGGGGGTGCTGACACTCAGGAGCAGAGTCCCGTGTCAGAGCACACACTGGCGAGGGGCGACCACACCGCAGGCCGTGAGCGAGGTCCTGGGATGGGACGTGTGCGAGCTCAGCTCCGGCCTCGGGGCACTAACAGCCTGGTGGGAAGACGGACACTTAGGCAGGCCAACGACGACGTGATGGTGGCACAGTGAGCACACACGGGCGGGGGACACACACCGGGGAATTCTAGTCTCGTCCTGGGAGCAGGGGAGCCCTCCGCCCGGCAGCTCTAACCTGTGCCTGACGGAGGGGCTCCGACCTCACCAGTGATCTGGGCTTTGAGAAGCATG